AGATGCTATCCTTCCTCCATTGCATGCTTTTAGCCCCTTTATCAAATATAAGATAGTTGTAACTTTGTGGATTAGTCTCTGTGTCCTCTATTCTATACCAGTTAAGCATTTTTTAACACCATAAACTATTTTATTTTTTTTTAACCAAAGAGATCAATTATTGTTGGAGTCATGGGCAATGTAACAGTATCAAATGCTTTGGATCTCCTCTCCTCTCTTTGGTCCCTAGTTGAAGATTCTCAAGGTATAATCATTCTTTTACTAACTTATTTTAAATTGTTAGATCATTTGAGTATGAAAAATACACAGACTGATATATCTCAAGATGGTGACATATTTTAGCAGTGGCTTGGTTCTGATTGGACCCTTAATACAGTGCTTGTTTTATGAGGCAGTTTGGGGGAAAGAACAGAGAAGAATTGAAATGATCACATTGAACCTCAAAGCTGCAATTGAGGAAGATATTGTTCATCTGAATTAAAAAATGTGCAGTGCGGCAGTCCAATTCTTTCCCTTGGATACTGTTCTTTATAGTACCTATGACTTGTTTGAGGTAACGCTTTGCTGATTCCTCTATGCAAATCCAAGTACTTATCACAAAGGGGCAGAGAGGAATTTCTACTGCATTATTGCAACTACTTGATCTTACTAAGTTTGGCAGGCTGTCTCTAATATGGCTCCCAATGATCCTTGCTTCCTGATATTCATGCCTTTGTATAATCTCATCCTCTTTAGTGTGGACTACCCTAGTGAAGTGCTTCTAACCAACATTATGACAAAGGTTATAGGAAGTCACTTTCATAACTAAGTTACAAGAGATTCCAACTTTAACTTGCTAGCCAGATAGGAAAGGGCTGGTAAATGTTTATGTGTGTCTCAGTCAGTTTGGACTGCTATAACAGAATACCATAGACTGGATGGCTTAAAAACAGAAATTTATTTCTTACAGTGTTGGAGTCTGGGAAATCCTGCCAGCATTTTCAGGTTCTGGTGAGGGCTCTATTTCTGGTTCACAGATGGTTGTCTTCTTGCTGTGTCCTCATGTGGTAGAGAACAGAAAAAGAGAGGAAGTGACCTCTTTCCTGTCTCTTTTTTTTTCTTCTCCTGATATTCATGCCCTTGTGTAATCCCATTCTTTTATAAGAGAACTAACTGTGTGATTATGTAATGAAGGTAGAGCCCTGCTGTGAGGGCTCTACCTTCATTACATAATCACCTTCCAAACGCTCCATATCCAAGTAGCATCATATTGGAGATTACATTTTCAACATATAAGTTAGCAGGGACACAAATACTCAATCCACATCAGTGTGGCTCACTAGATCATCCTAGAATATGTTATCTCCTCTGGAGGTTCAGGTTTGTATTGCTTTGGGTGGATTTATTGCTGAAACAAAAGGCAACAAAATGTATATTGAATATAATACAATAGAAGTTTGTTTCTTGATCATGAAATAGTACCGGGCAAGTTCAAAGGTTGGAAGGATATCTTTCCCTCCCTCATACAATCATTCAGGGGTCCAGGGTGATATAAACTCTGTCATCATAAAAATAAAACATTGTTCTAGGATGGAGAGAGTGGCTCATCTTTATTACAGCCATCAGGAAGGGAAAGAGAACATGATAACCCATGTAGAAGATCTACAGGCCAGACCTTTATGTGAAGTATGTCTCTTCTGATCACATTCCATTGACTGTATCTAATCGCCTGACCATATCTCACTGCAAGAGAGCCTGGAAAATGTAGTCTTTTGGCTGAGTGGCCATTTCTTAGTGACAACTCCATACCAAGGAGGGAGCCTAAGAAGTTTTGGTGGACAGTCACACATTTTACTATAAATTTATTTCCAAGAATAAAGTGTTCTTGGAAACTGAATTTTATATAACTTTCACATATCACAAATATTATTATTTTGATTTTTTCCAGCCATTTTAAACTACAGAACCATTCTGAGCTCACAGGCCATAGAAATAGAGGCAATTGGCTAGATTTGGTCTGTGGTCCATGGTTTGCTCACCCCTAACCTAGATTGTCAGATAGCTCAGTCTTGTATACATTGGACATGTTTTTCCAGGTTTTATGGCCACTTTATAAATAATGTTTCATAAAACATTTTCATGTAATACTCGGACTTGAGTCTCTAGGGGTGTTCTGGGTTGGAGAAAAGACAGTAGAAAAAGAATCTCCCAGCCCTAAATGGTTAACATTTATATTACAACATAAATTATTCTGTGCTCCAGATTGCCTGTGGTATCCATGCAGAATGATTAATGTCAAGATGATAAAATGATGCAGTCTCTTGAATTTGATTCCAGCTGTTCCCGTCTTTGATATGATTTGTGAATGACATTTGTATTTTTCACCGGTGATTAGTTAATGCTGGGAAGGACGGCCAGATGATAGCTGTCTAGAATCCTGAAGGCAAAGATTTACTTGGCTGGAAAACTGTTCAATAGAATAGCGTTACAACATTTACCACAAATTCATTTAGCATTTGTCATTAGAAGGTGCTTAGCATCCGGAAAACAACCTGTAACTTGAAGTATTTCTTAGACTATTTGATTATACTGTGATTACTGAATGCTGGTAACCAAAAAAAGACTTCATCCACATGATGCATTGCTCTTGTTTAGAACTCAAATGGACTCTAAAGAAATGATTCCATTTTCTCCAGGAGCCGTTTATTGACTTATTCATGGCTAGAGGAAATCTCAGCTATGTATCACAGTTTGGAAATCAAGTGTCAAAAGTTACTGGATTTAGGTAATAATGATAACAGTGATCCATTTATTAGTTTACTCATAATGTGCCAGCTGCTAAACTATTTTGCACTCATTTTGTCTTCACACCAGTGCTTTGAAACATTATGCTTCCTTGCCAGAATTTTCATCCACCCACCAAGTCATGCGAAGGGCAGGTAGCTTCCAGTCTTCTATTTTCTTTGCATTCATGTAACCTCTTATGATTCTCAGGGAATACAATGCAATCAGTATAACTCAATGCTCCTCACCTTCAGCATTATTGACATTTGGGTTCAGACCATTCTTTGTGTGGAGCTGTCCTATGCATTGTAGGATATTTAGTGTGCCCCTGGCCTCTACCCACTAGATGCCAGCAGCACCATCTTTGTACTAGTTATGACAACCAAAATTGTCTTCAGACCTTGCAAATGTCCCTTAGAGAACAAAATCACCCCAAGTAGAGAACCACTAGTTTGACTCAATCTGCTCAGTGCAACATTTGAGTATGTCAAATTGTCCTTGGGGCTTGGCCTGTATTTTCACTTCCTAGGTGAAACCTTCTTGGAATGAGCTTCTCTTTACTTCAGGAATTGGAATGTGAGCTACATCTAATTTATCATGAATTCTGCTTCATGAAAAACAGAGTTCATTATGATGTTAGCCATAGTGACTGAATTCTCTACTGTAGATCCATATTACTACAAAAGAGGTATCAAGTTTTAAAAAATAAGTAAAAAGAGCAGATTAAGTAGGACTCTCCCTCTCTCACACACTCTTTCTCTGTCTCTCTTTCTCCTCTCTCATCTCTGTATAGATAGACATCTTCATAGCCTCACAGTAAATAAATGAAGTGTTTTCTCTGCATGTGTGTTCTTGGGCATTTATTTTGCTTTCCTTTGTGCTATTCTGTATATTCAAAACTGTCTGAAATAAACATTTAACATTTTTTCTTTTAAGTATGGAGGATTGAATCTGGGGGCAGATACCACTGAATTATATACCCAGTCCTTTTTTATTTTTTTATTTTGAGACAGAATCTCACTAAGTTGCTCAAAGTGTCACTAAATTGCTGAGGCTGGCCTTGAACTAATAGTCATCCTGCCTCTGGCTCCTGAGTTTCTAGGATTACAGGTGAGTGCCACCACACCCAGTTTATCTTTTTTTTGGGGGGGGGGTACCAGGGATTGAACTCAGGGGCACTGAGCCACATCCCCAGCCTTATTTTGTATTTTATTTAGAGACAGGGTCTCACTGAGTTGCTTAGTGCCTTACTGCTGCTGAGGCTGGCCTTTAACTTATAGTCATCCTGCCTCAGCTTTCCAAGCTGCAGGGATTACAGGCATGTACCACAGTACCTGGCTCCAGTTTATCATTTTTGATAAGACAAAAATTCCTTTTAAACATGGAGTTACTAACCCACATTTAGCATTCTAATTGATAGTAACAATTTATTTAGATACAATGAGGCAGGTTTCTTATCAGAACATGATTGCAATTATATCTCCAATGACAAAACTTCTTATGGAGAACTTGATTGGTGAATATAGGAAAATAATATGTGTTAATTAATGAAGAAAATAAAATTAGAGCAATGTCCTAAAAATTCAAAATGCCAGGGATCTGCAAAAATAAACATCCCATCTGCCAATTTACATTTTTAATATTTTCATTAAAGAACTATGGAGGACAGGAGCAGCAGTTGCTTTGTATTACATGCTATCTGGGATTAGCAATAGTGAACTAACAAGGTTTTCCTACATTTCAGATGTTTGTCAATGATTGATTGTCGACATTCATATCTACATATGCTTGCCAGGCTCTGGGGGCATAAGGTCTCGAAATGGAGGCCAGGTCTTCTATTGATTTTGCACAAGAGCAGACCACACTGGAGTGTTCTAATGTGCTGGCAGAATATTCTGACCACTGATAACAATGTGCAGATAATTTAGCTTAGAATTTCAAGGCCAAGGAGGAACACAGCTTGGGAACACTGCCTGCCAAGGCTTTTGATGACTGAAAAGCCCCAAGCAACCACACAGCTTGCCCACTCAGCACAGGCACTTGGCTCCAGCCTGTCATTAAATTGTGGGCATGGACCCAGCCCCAGGCTAGGAAAGCAGCCCCTCCTGGTCCATGAGCAGAGTAGGAAGCCCTGACCATGAATCCTCTGGAAGCTGGGAATGTTACCTCCTGAGTGGCCCTGATGCCAGCTCCCGCATACAGAAGTGGGAGAAGTGATGGCTTTCAGGCTGAGGCCTGTCAAAGCAGAATTCCCCAATTCCCAGCCAAAGAACTTAATCCTGAGGTGGAAAACAAATAAAATTCATACAAAGCAAACCCAACAATTCCCTTTCCTTGTGAGAAAGGAAATGACTGGGTGGTGGTTTTGGATGAACACTACCCAGGACCATGGTTCCTCTCCTCCTTGTAGCGGAGGCTGAGGAAACTCTGCTCATATTAATAGGGTCAGCAAGTTCAAGCTGTTGGTCCTTCTTATCAGCAGCACCTCGATGGGGTTCCCTAGCTATTATAGCGGATTTTGTTTGCTTCTTGATTTTTCTTTAGCTTCTGGTTCTCTGACCGATAGAAGCAATCGGATTTCTTAACCAGAATTAGATTGCTAAGTCCCTTATTGCACAAGAGAGGAAATATTCTCAAGTAATTTTCATTCAGATGAAATGGGGATAAACCAGTCTTGAAATAGTTAGAAGGAAAGAATTAAAATAGTAACTCTATTCCCAGGTATGTTTTTCTCCCGTAGGAAACAGTGGTTTAAAGTTTATGGAGCAGGTTAATGAGTTGGAGAGCCTTGCTTTTTGGCTCAGGTCCTAAAATAAGACTTTTAAACACACTTCAAAACTATATAGCACTTCTCATTAATGGCAAATAAAGAATTAGGTCCTGAATTAGGATGTAAAGGCAGCATGATTCATATAGTAATAAGTAGCAGAAATGAGGTTTTATGAAAATGAAAAATTTCATTTATTAAATGATTCCTGGAATGCCATTGGCATTTATTTTGCTGTGTTTTTTTCCAATAAGCTCTTTGATATTTTTCAGAATTTTCTTCAATAAATATATATTGCTAGAGAAAATGGACTAAACTTAAGAGCTGAAAAATTCATGAGATACGAAAATGATGTTACAAGAAGTAGACAATTGTCTTCAAAAACCTGTTGGAAAAAAAATGTTTGACTTTGTTCAAAATTGTGGATTGAAGTACTTTTAAACCTATTTTTGTGATTCTAATTCTGTTTATCTTTAATGGGTCCAAAGTAGAAATCTTTGTTCCCTTTTCTAATATTTAAAGTTAATAGAAATGTGTATAACTTGAAAATCTAAGCATCTTTTGAGTTCTTCTTGTTGATAATTTTTTCTTGATGTCAGTTTTCATTCAGGTGTGCCTTTTGGATCACCTGAACCAGCACATTGATTCTTTTTGTTCTGCGTGAAATGCTGGATGTCAGAAGAGCTTCTAGTGATAAAGCTACTAATATTTATATGGCAACAAATGAGAGCAGTTTCGGCTAACTTTCAATTGAGTAAATGTTTTAGAATTTGGAACAAATCTGAATAGTGCAAAATGCAAATGTAACATTGATGTCCACCCTCCCTCCCTCCTCTCCTTCTGTCCCCTTTCTTCCTATCTTCTTCCCTCTCTCCCTCCTATCTTTGTTTCTTTTCCTCCCACCTTCCCTCTTTTCCTCCCTTCCCTACTTTCTTTTTCAGTTATCATTCACTAAAGACATACAACAAAGTAGGGACTATGTTAGGCCTCCAAGATATTAAAAGTTGACAATGATGCATAAATTCCTACCCTTAGGGAGTTTAGGTTCTAGTGGGGGAAAGTTTCTCACATAAAGGCAACAATTTACAGATTCTTCTGAACTGTGTAAAAGAGAAAGAAAAAAGAAAGAAGAGAGAAAGAAAAGAAGGAAAGATGGAAAGAAGGAGAGAGAGAAGAGAAGAGAGCTGCATTTTTGGGCTACTATATTGTTTTTAAAAATACCAAAAAATACCCCCCCCCAATGTCCCACCAGTATTCTAGGAAGGATATGTCTCCAAGATTAACAAAAACAATTATTCTCTCAAGTTATCCATGGGAAGTGGAGCTTCATAGCAATAACAATGCTGCTCTTAACAATGGTAATTGTCTTAAACACTATTAATAGTGTTGCCTTTAACAGCACAGAAATAGTGCAGCAGAGGTGGCTGTGACCAGAAGTACCTCATCTCTAGATCTAATATAAAAGGTGAACACACCAGTATTTCCTGTGCTGCAAGAATGTCTAGAAATAATCCATTTTTGCAATACAAAAATATTTTGAGAGCTTAGGTAGTCTCCTTTTAAGTATTTTTAAAAATACACATGGAAACCTCAATCTCTCTTTTTACATTCATAATGATTTTAAAAATATTACTAGCAAAAGATCCCTCCATCTAAATTGCACATATGTGAGAAATAGCTCTCTTGAGCATTAGCTCATTGGCAGCCTCCACATCCAGGGAGAAGTTGGAGGTGTTTACTCTCCCCACATCCCTCCCTACCTTACTGGCATCAAATGGGTGGAGTCCAGAGACACTGCTAAACATCCTGCAATGCCCCCAAACAGGACCCACCACAAAGAAACACCCAGCCCCAAATGTCTTCTGAGATGGAGAAATCCTGCTCTAGAGAAAAAAAAAAAAAAAAAAAAACAGCTGAAGAAAAGACTGAACAACGAGGAAAAGGGGTGTCAGAAGGCTTTGTCCCCACAACCAGTGAGGTGAGGAAGGAAAAGTATTTATATAAAATGTGCTCAACAGATACTGACTTTCCTGTCCTGTGGGTCCATGAAGGTAGAAGATTGTACTTGGCAATTTCATTAGACCCAAAACACATACGCAAACAAAGTCTGTAATATCCTGCCTAAATTGAAAATGAAAACTTGACACCCAGACTGTAATTAGCAAGAATGAACAACTTCCTCGTTTTCCCCCAATTCACCAGGGCATTTTAACACTCAGTCATCTCATTTCCTCCCAGAGCTGTAAAGGTGTCATGATTTCAATCTCTCTAGTGGAATTTTTCTGCAACACCAAGCCTGGCCCTTCCACTTTGGAGATGTTTATGACGGCTGTGTCCGACAGCATTAAGGAAAATTGGCCACATTTGTGTCTTGGAAGCTGTCATGAGCTGTGTTGATTTTCCTCTAGTCAGAGCTGTCCCTGAGGGTTTCCTGGTTTTAAGGGCAAAACCCTCAGGAAGAATGGGCTGCCTTTGAAAGTCAGCCTAGCCGGTAGCTCTCTGAAGTCGGTTAAGACAAAGTCCACTCACAGTGTTGCTTGGAGGCTATTCAGCAGGGAACAGGAGCCCTGTGGCCTTTCTCTCTGGGCTGTCCTCTATTCCTGGGACATCTCCTATGATGCTACGTGCCAGCATAATTTTATCCCCATCCCTCTATCAGCAAATGTTAGCCTTGCTCAAACAAGTCCATCAAGACAAGATTGATTGGCTTAAATTTTTTTTAAATACATGTATATCAGGGCCTAGAAATGAAGCCCAGGAGGGAGCAGGCAACTGTATGTTTTGGACCCTGAATCTGGCGGCATTGCTTAATGAGGAGCGCCTTCCCGATGGGATCAAGGCTTCAGCCTCTGCAGGCCGTTGGCCCTGTGAACTCTGGGGTTAAAGGGTCACGCCCTGGCACTTCTGCTCCCAGTCAGTCATTTGAAGGTTTCAAACATGACCCTAACAGCCACCTTCTCCATTTCAGGACATCCTGAGTGCTGGGTCTGGAATGCAGAAAGGGAGCAAGAGGCAACCGATAACAGATGCTGGGATTTAGCCACCCCCTTCCTTTCTATGCCTGCACCAATTCCCTAGGGGCCCAGGGTCAGAAGCTTTGATTGGGCTCATCGTTCCAAGTTGACAGCTGCACGTTTGTTCTTGTCTGAGTCTCTTGCTGCTTCTCAACCTGGCCTCCCGAAGATGGACTCATCCAAAGCCTGACATGGAGACTGAAACTTAGGGTATTCATCTCTGTCATCATCTACATTCACTTATTTATTGGGTGCTGACTACAGGCTCCAAGAAACAGTCGGACCACTGAAAGCTATGCAGCTAGCTCCATCTGAATAGGCCTGCTCCAATTTTCCAACTCAGGACTATTTTTTCTCACCTGTCCCTGTCTTCTCTGTTACTCAAATTCTTTTGGGGGTGAAAAAATGGAAACACAAAGTAGGTAAAACCAAATATGATTTAGGTTGAAAAGCAATCAATTGAAAATTCCTGTATGCAGAACCATTGTCTTATTTAAATATATTTACTTTTTACATTTTAAAAATTGCTCATCAAAGTTTATTCTACCACTCCAGGTGAAAGAATCACAAGAAGACTAAAAATATTTTTAATTGACACATAGTAATGTATATATTTATGGAGTGCATGGTGACATTTCAAAACATGTATATTATGTGTGATGATCAGATCAGGGCAATCAGCATATCTGTCACCTCAGATGTTTCTCATTTCTTTCTGTTGGGAACATGGAAAATCCTACTAGCAATTTTGAAATATTAAGTGAGTTGTGGCGACCCATAGTAGTTCTGCTATGCTAGAGAATACTAGGAATTTTTCTTCTTATCCAAGTGCACCCTTGAATCATTAACCATCCTCTCTCCATCCTCCCGCCCAGGCTCTGGTAACTATTATTTTGTTCTCTACTTCCACAACTTTTTAGCTTCCACATATGAGTGAGAAAACGTAGTGTTTATCTTTGTATGTCTGACTTATTTCACTTAACATAATGTCATTCAGTTTTATCCATGTTGCTGCAAATGACAGAATTTTTTAATGGCTGAATAATATTTCATTGTGTATGCATACCACATTTTCTTGCCCATTTATTCACACATCTGTAAATGTTAAAATGTGATGACTTTCTTGATTTCTTTCTTAGCAATTTTGTTGTTGGTAGATAAAAAAGCTACTAATTTGGTATGTTGATTTTGTATCTGCCCACTTTATTTAATTTGTTGATCAGTCCTAAGAGTTTTTCAATGGCATTTTTCCCATGAATAAAATCATGTCATCTTCAAATAGGAATAATTTGAATTCCTCCTTTCCTATTTGGATGTCCTTTATTTCTTTCTCTCCCTTTATTACTCTGGCTAAATGTTTCAATACTATATTGAATAAGAGTGATGAAAGTAGGCTTCCTTCTGGCAATATATGCATATCCATGTTTATAGCAGCACAATTCATAATACCCAGGCTATGGAACCAGCCCAGGTGCTTGTCAACAGATGAATAAATAAAGAAAATGTGGTATATATACATAATTGTGTTTTACTCAGCCATAAAGAAGAATGAAATATATCATTTGGAGGAAAATGGATGGAACTGGAGACATAATTTTGAGCAAGATAAATGAGACTCAAGAAACATATTGTTATGTTTTCCCTCATATGTGGAAGACAAAGGGGAAAAAGACATATCATAAAAGTAGAAAGGTGACTATAGTATAGAGGAAGGGGGTAATGGGGAGGAAGGAGGGAAGGATGGGGGCAAAATTGATCAAGTTGTATTTCTATATATGTGGGAATATGTCACAATGAAAACCCTCATTCTGTATAATTGAGATGAACTAATGAAAACAATAATTTTTAAGTGTTTAAAGATGAAATATAATAAAAATTAGTCAAACTATTAAAAAAGTGGTCATCCTTATCTTTCTGTTTAATTTAAATTTTGAGACAGGATCTTGTTAAATTGCTGAAGCTGGCCTTGAACTTGAGATCCTCCTGCCTTGACCTTCTGTGTAGCTGGGATTACAGGTGTGCACCACCATGCCTGACAGCATCCTGGTCTTGTCCCTGATCTTTAAAGAAAGGTTCAACTTTCCCCCATTCAGTATGATGTTGGCTATGAGTATATCATATCTAGCCTTTGTTGCATTGAGGCACATTCCTTACATACCTATTTTTAGAGTTTTATCATAAAGGGATATCAAATTTTATTGAATACCTTTTCAGCATCTATTAAGATGATCATATGATTTTTATCCTTGATGCTATTGATGTGATGCATTATGTTTATTGATTTGCATATGTTGAGGCATCCTTTCATTCCTGGGATAAATTTCATTTGATCATGATCTATAAGTTTTTTGAAGTGTTGTTGGATTTGATTTGATAGTGTTTTGTTGAGAATTTTCACACCTATATTCACCAGGGATATTTTTCTGTAGCTTTCTTTCTCTTTTTTTCCTAATTGCTGCTGTGTTCTTGTATAGTTTGAGTATCAGAGTAATACTAGACTTATAAAATAAAATTAGAAGTGTTCCCTCCCTTTCCAATTGGAATAGTTTGAGAATAATTGATGTTAGTTTTTCTTTAAAGTTTTGATAAAACTCAGCAGCAAAACCATCCAATCCCAGGCTTTACTTTGTTCAGGGACTTTATTACTGACTCAGTTTCATTGCTTGTTATTAGTGTGTTCAGGTTTTCTATGTTCTCGTGGTTCAATTTTTGTAGGTTGCATGTATTGAGAATTTACCCATTTCTCCTAGGTTTTCCAATTTGTAGGCTCATAATTGTTCATAGTAGTTTTCAATGAATCTTATTCTTTCTGTGGTATCAGTTGTAGTGTCCTTTCCTATTTTATTTATTTTGGTCTTCTTTTTTTCTTGGATATTCTAGCTAAAAGTTTGCTAATTATTTTTATCTTCTCAAAAAAGTCTTTTCATTGATCTTTCTTATTTTTTAGTCTCTATTTCATTTATTTATGCTTTGATATTTGTTATTTCTTTTCCACTAATTTATATTTGGCTTGCTTTTTTTCTTTCTTAATTCCTTATGTTGCATTCTTGTTTATTGATACCTTTTTAAAAATATAGGTACTTGTTTCTCTGAACTTCCCTCTTAGTACTGCTTTTGCTGTACTCCGTACGTTTTGGTACATTGTGTTTTCATTTTCATTTATTTCAAGAAATTTTTAAATTTCTCTTTTGATTTCTTCATTGACTCATTGGCCATTCAGTAGAATGTTGTTTAATTTTTACATATTTGTACAATATCTAAAGTTCCTCTTTTTATTCCTAGATTTATTCCACTAGAGTCAGATAAGATACATGATTTTGAATTTTTAAAATTTGTTAAGGTTTATGGTCTATCCTGGAGAATGCTCCATGTGTTGATAAGAAAAGTGTGAGCTATGCAGCTATTGGGTGGACTGTTCTATAAAGTTCTGTTAAGCCCATTTGTTCTAATAGTGCAGTTTTACTCACAGTTTCACACATTTTTTCTTACAGCTTCTGTGTTTCAGGAATTCAGATGTGGTTTAGTTGATTTTCTGCTCAAGGTCTTACAAAGCTTACCTCAGTTTTTCAGCTGGACTACATTCTCATCTTGGGCTTGACTGGAGGAGGTCTGCTTCCAAGTTGGCAAATTTCATTTTCATGTGGCTGTAGAAATGCCAGTTTCTTTCTGGCTGTCGGCTAGAGGCTGCCTTCAGGTTCCAGAGGCCACCCAGAGTTTGCTACCACATGACTCTCATAATACCAAGATGCTGAGTTAGGTGTGCTCTCTGTTTCAGTCAGTTACAGCCTAGGTGTAACAGAGAGCTGGAAAGAATCTAACTTTATTTTGAGCAAGAACATTTTTATAGAAATCAACCTCTGCATTGTACACATGTAACAAATGTATTAATGTGTCACATTGTACCTTATATGTATGTGCAATTATTATATTTCAATTAATAATAATAATTTTAAAAACATAGCCACTTGCTTTAAAGTCAGCAATGAGACTCTCTATAGAATATACCAGCGAGATGAAGCTTTATTTAAATATAGCATAATTCTAAGAATGAAATCCCATTATCATTGCCATATTATATTGGTTTCAAGCAACACACAGGTCTTGCTCATGATCAAGGGGAGGGGATTAAACAAGTTGTTAATATCAGCAGATGGGCATCATGGGACCATCCTAGGTTCTGTCCACTATAGCATTCCAGATGATTCTCGTGTACAAGAAGGGCTGTCTGCAACACCATCTAGAGGATACTTTGTCATTATTGTTTGCATTTTCATTCATGGCATCACATCACTGATAATGCTTGTAGCTCATTTTTATGACTTTTTAATAGCTGTATAAATATTTTGTGGTATGGATAAGTGACAATGTACTCAACCTTTTCTCAGTCAATTTATATTCAGTTTGTCCCCAGGTTTTTTGCCACTGTGATTTACAGCTTTTTGCATAAATCCTTAAGAAGTGGTACTTTAATTTTTAGCAGGCATTGGGATACTATGGTCCCTGGACCAAATCTGCACAGTTGCCTGATTTTGTAGTCTGAGAGCTAAGAAAGGTTTTTTTTATGGTTCTTTAAAAAAAAAAGGAATTATATATTACAGAGACCATATGTGGCCCCCAGTGCCTAAAATAATTACTATTTTGCCCTTTATAGAAAGTTGTCCAATTTATGTTTTATAGAATATAGTCCTGAGGAGCAAGAATGTCATGCATTTCGTGAATTTATCATTCCAAATTACTTCCCCCAAAAGATTGCATCAATTCAGAATATCCTGGCAAAGTGCTAAGAGTGACAGAATCTTGATAAACATCGTATATTATTGTTCTGTTCTATTTCAGTTAATCAGTTGGAAGGCAAAATGCATTGGTTTGCTGTTTCATTTTGAACTTCTGTAAAAACTTGACAGAGAGGTTGAACTTTTTCAAATATGTATTGACTTTTGTAGTCAAACATCTATGATTTTTCTTGCTTAGGAAACTCTCCCCTACCTCTATTTATACACATTTTCTGCTAAAATTTCTTTTACATTTTAAAATGATTTGACTGATCTACTTGACTATTTTGTATGACTACCCTAATATTTTCATTACAGAGTATTTTCAGTACATTTTAATATATCATACGGCAAGTTCTTCTTCTTCTTTCTCTCTCTCGATCTCTCTCTTTCCTTCCCTCCCTCCCTCCCTATCCCCTCCTTCCTCCTTAAGCAACTTAGCTAGACCCTGTCTCAAAATAAAAAATAAAAAGGGCTGGGGATGGGGCTCAGTAGTAGAGTAGCCCTGGGTTCAAGGGTCCCTCCTTCCTCTTTTTATTATTAATTATTGACTTTTTAGAAATTTAATTTTCTACATGAACTTGAAAAATAATTTTATCTAGTTATTCCTGCCCATAAAGATAATTTTGAGCCTTGTTTTTCATCATTTCGTTTTTATTCCTCTCATCCCATTGACAATAACCTATTAACCTAGTAACCACAAATGCCATGTGGTGGTAGAACTGAGTATCCCTTGTCTGGCCCTGATTTTGAAAGGACTACTTTGGAATTGCTTCACTTAAAATCATGCTTGGTCAGGCACAGTGGTGCACACCTGTAATCCCAGCAGCTGGGGAGGCTGAAACAGGAGGATTAAGAATTCAAAGCCAGCCTCAGCAACAATGAGGCCCTAAGCAACTCAGTGAGACCCTGTCTCTAAATAAAATACAAAATAGGGCTCAGGATGTAGCTCAGTGGTTGAGTGCCCCTGAGTTCAATTTTCAGTATCAAAAAATAAAATAAAATAAAATAAAATAAAAACACATCATGCTTGTTGTAGGTTTACAGACAAAAATAGTTTTCTTCTATTCCTATTTAACTGAAAATTTATTATGAGTGCCTACTGAAATGTATTAGATTTCTTTTAAAGAATCTGGGTATTTTTTTTTTTTTTGGTACAGGGGATTGAACCCAGGGCTACTCTACTATTGAGCCCCATTCCTAGCCCTTTTTATTTTGAGACAGGGTTAAACTTAAGCTAAGTTGCTTAAGGCCTTGGAAAATTGTTGAGGCTATCTTGAAGTTTTGATCCTCCTGTCTCAGCCTCCCAAGTGGCTGGGATTACATGTGTGCACCACCATGCCTGGCTTAAATAATCTATTTATATATTTGTATTTTTCCTTTTCTTTTTAAAGAAAGTAAAAATGTCGATAGGTTTCATACTGTTGGAACACTCTATGGTTGATAGGTTTTCTGGCCAATTGAACCCTTTATTATGTGATGTCCCTTTTTATTTCTGGAAATGTTCTTGTATAGAAGTTGACTTTGTCTTCTCTTAATAGAATAATTCTGCTTTGTTTCTATCAGTGTCTGTGTACTATATCTTTGGTTACCCTGTTACTTTTCACTTACTATGTCTTCATTATTTCAAGTGAGGTTCTTGTAGACTGAACATAGTTACCAGGACAGGTAAGCGTGGAGTTGTCCTTGAGTCACTGTGTCTTTGGGAAATGTGGGTATGGACCAATTAATTTAAAGGGATTGAAAGAAAACAGATCTGGGAACATGAGAACAGGCTTTGAAGTGATAAAGAAAAGAAAGAAATCAGCTAATGTAAAGAAGTAGGGCAGAAGCTGGCTGAAGTGGCACATGCCTGTAATGCCAGCAGCTAGGGAGGCTGAGACAGTAGGATCACAAGTTCAAAGCCAGCATTAGCAATGGAGAGGCACTAAGCAACTCAGTGAGACCATGTCTCTAAATAAAATACAGCATAGGGCTGGGGATGTGGCTCAGTGGCCCCTAAGCTCAATCCCTGGTATCAAATAAATAAATAAATAAAAATTAAAAAAATAAGAAGTAGGGCAGAGCACTGAGTTGGTGACCTGAGATGTTGAGCAAACAAGCAACATAGGCATTGGATGGAAT